ACTCTGAGACGATGGAACAGGAAGTGGTGAAATGCTGACTCACTTCTGGGTTTTAGGACTCGTTCCTGCACCACTCTATAAGTTGGCGTGTGTCACTTATTATCTCAGACCTGTGTCTTCTTGTGAAAACTTGCGTCATAAGTAGAACAGAAGTGCTCAGAAGTGCCAAAGTAATCGAAAGACTGCTGGGATCTTTCTGGTGTTTTCTGTTTACTACTGAAATACATTTCAAATGAGACAAAGTGTGTTTACTTGTGATGGTAGATATCCGGGTCTCGGCTTATGTGGTTCTGGAAGCCTATGTACAGATCATCCCATAGACGGCCGTGCAGCACTGTAGATCTCATCACGCTGATCCGGTTTTTGATCTTTAGGGATGAAACCAAGAAAACATTGAAGCTGCATGAACGAAACAGGAACTCTGATGAGTAAAATAATGCACCTCACAAGAGTCTACGACAGACCGTTCATGGGTTGCAGAGGTGGGACGTAACGAAGTACATTCACTCAAGTACAATTGTGTCATACTTGTACTTTACTTGAGTATTTCCACTTAATGCTACTTTATACTTTTATTCCCCTTTCATTTTGGAACATTAAGTGTCCTTTTTACTCCACTACATTTACTAACAATAATAGTTCCCAGCCACTGTTTACATATAAAATACATAATGTTTTTATATGATATCCTGCAGTACGTTACTACAGATTTATTACAAAACAAACTTAAATTGTCTTAATAATGTCCTACATGTATTTGTAAGCAATAAAAAGAACGAATCACTTAAAGGTGGGGTAGGTAATTCACTTCAGAAACACTTTTTGTTATTCCATGGAATGCTCTTAACATCCCGATAGAAATGAATATATTAAATGCTTTGACAATAAATACATAAAAAAAATGTCATCTGTGGAAGCCGTGGCGCTGTAAAAAGCACGACCAATCATCTGAGCCGGCCCGGCTAAAATAACTGGATGGCCTACCTGCCTGTCAGCCTTCCATCTGTGCACAAACTTATCTCGTGCCCTCATTGGTCATGTGCGCGTTCGTGTGTGTTGGAGGAGGGGCTCTGTAAGGAAGTCTGAAGGAAGGGGCAGATTTTTTTTTCGGGTGCGTAGTTTCAAATTCTAGCGCACTCGAGCTGGTTTCTCCATTCTTACCTACCCTACATTTAATATTCCATAAAAATATAATACTTGCCGATTTCTTTGTAAATGACTTAAGATGATTTTTTGTGTATTAGAGTTTAAATATTTCCTATGTCTCACCTCAATGTAGAAGTGCTCTCTGCCAGGCCTGGCGGTGGGAAAGGACAGATCCAAAAAGTCCACCAAGTAGTCGTAGCCACCAGCATGGGGTTCAAAGTCGTCCTTTGTCTCGATCACCTTATATATTTGTGTGTAAAAATGTGCTCTGGATCAAAAACACATCAACAAGCAACAGCAAGAAAGGACAAGAGGGCTAGCTAGTTTCTGTTGAGCTGGTTATTAGCCATGCTAAAGGCATCTCGTTAAAATATAATATAATAAATTATCTCAGGCATCATTTAAGATTGCCAGCAAATCATTAACCCACCTTTCAACACGTGTTTCCAAATATGCTGCACATTTAAATGTAATTGTTGTTTACTGGTAATAAGCAAATGTTAGCATGCTCAACTGCTAAGCTAAGATGGTGAACATGATTACTTTACAAGGCTCAGGAAGGTTTTGCAAAAGTATCTGCGATTCTACCAAAGAACAGAAAGAGGGTCTTCTATGTCAAGTTTATATTTACCCGCATGACAAGGTTGTAGTTTTTAAAGCCTGCCCAGGAGTAATAGAATTGGATCCAGCTTTTATGTTTGAATATCTCAGAGCCGATGGCGCCGTTTAGTTCATTCAAATACAAGTCGAAATCCCATTTGTCCTTGTAGATTTGTGCATTAGCCGGGGGATCAGTGATGGCCGCTCTGTGTTTGGTTGTGTAATGAAAGAAATAAACACATACAAAGAAGGTGAACTTATGATGGGTCTCCATGTGTGTAGTTTAAATTATCATATTAATCAGCACAATCTTCATTTAGCCTATTTTGTAATCTGGGCACGATTCCTATTCTGTTCTCAAAAGTACTTTTTCTAAATAATGCTTTTAGTTCAGACAGGGGTAGACAAAAGCCTTTTTAACAGTGACTGGCAAATGTACGTTTTTGTGAGTTAGAAGAAACAACTGTGACTGGCAAATGTTCTAAACCATAGTTAGCTAGCTTTTAATGCTAACTGCTAATGTCAAGTCTAAAAAATGTACCAAGAAAAGGACAGCCGTAGCTAGCTAGCTTACTAACTCTGTAAGATTGTTTGAAAGTGCCGTCAGAGAATCGTTTAAAATCAAGAACCATGTAAATAGGTTTTGCTTGTGGAATTAATGACAACATCCATAATGTTATGCTAAAAGACAAAGCCTAAATGCCTAAAAACAAGGATAGCCGTAGCTAACTAGCTTATTAATGCTAACTCTGTAAGATTGTTTGAAAGTGCTGTAAGACATTCATTTAAAAACAAGAATTATGTTAAGATAATAATAATAATAATAAATTATATTTCTATAGCGCTTTTCTTGAACCCAAAGACGCTTTACATTTGGGAGGGAGGGTAGACAAAAAATAAATAAATAAAAATACAAAACAGGA